GTCGGAATTAGCTCAAACTTTCTACACAGCATAAGTACATCAATATGTATCAGAAAATGTAATAAAAATTGGGGATCATTTTTTAGCCATTTTTCGGAAAAAACCATGGGCTATATAGTACAGGGATTTTTTCAGATTTTGGCCATTTTTTAAATGGCCATAATTTGAAAAATTTAAGTCAGAATCAGCTCAAACTTTCTACACAGCATAAGTACATCAATATGTATCAGAAAATGTAATAAAAATTGGGGGTGATTTTTTAGCTATTTTTCGGAAAAACCATGGGCTACAGTACAGGGATTTTTTCAAAAATTGGCCCATTTTAAAACCCACACATATGCCTATATACATGCACATACCTCAAGGTTATACAGTAATTGTGTAGGAGAGACTTTTGATGCATCGTAAAAATCTGAGAGGACAGCTGCTGGAGTCGGAGGGAGACGAGTATCCTCTGAAGCTCCTTCAGTTGATATCGGATGAACAAAAACCTCAAGAGCCTCAAGAACCTTCTGATTAATAGGAATGAGAGAAAGAAGAGTCCGTACTGCTTCTATAACCCTGAGAGAGAGAGAGAGAGAGAGGAGAGAAGGTAAAATAACAAGAGAAAAAAGAATATACATTTATACATGTACATGTACACATGTATGTTAACAGCATAATACTATTAACAGTATTATATAAATCCTTTCAAAAGTACCTCTATACAGTATCAATACTCTTGACAGTATTAAAATAAATTATAATATAAATTTATGTACATGTATTTTCAAACCTTGGTTCTCCCGATTGGCAGAGCTGCTCCAGTTTTGTAAAAATGTCTTTCTCGTTAGCCATTATGACACCTGGCAACAGCCTCTCCTGTAAAATAAAATAAATAAAAATAAATAAATAAATAATAAGAGAAAACTCTGACTTGTCTCAAAGCAATCTTTAATCTTTCAGTGTTAGTATCAAGTGACTAGAAAAAAAGAAAGGAAATATATATTTGATATAAAAGCATAATATTAGAGAGAAGATACATGTACATGTTGTTTTCGAAGCAAGTATAATACAATTACATGTACATGTACATTTGTATAATAATCAAACAATATTAGAAGTAAGTGTGTGTGTGTGTTTAATACAATCATTATCTTACTGAGGAGCTATATCCAACACTGGTAGTCTTGACTATTATCTGATGCTCTTCAGTCAGATTCAACTGATGCAGCAACTTATTGTAATGAGTTAACTAGAGGAAGAGAGAGAGAGAGAGAGAGAGAGGGAGGGGGGGAGAGAGAGAGAGAGAGAGAGAGAGAGAGAGAGAGAGAGAGAGAGAGAGAGAGAGAGAGAGAGAGAGAGAGAGAGAGAGAGAGAGAGAGAGAGAGAGAGAGAGAGAGAGAGAGAGAGAGAAAGTATGTATAAATACAATGTACACACTACACTACTTCACATAATAGTAAATAAATCCAAAAATAAGCTAACATAATTATGGTTTGTTATTCCAGCAGTGTCTTACCCATTTCTCTGTCGTTCCTATTTGGATTTGTTCCAGAGTTACTTTAAGCCTCTCGCTCACCCTCTTCCTCAATGAAGATAAGGTCTCGTTAGAATGACACTGAGAGAGAGAGAGAGGGAGAAGTTAGTTTAGTTTCAAGTACATGTACATATACATGTAGAAGTAAAAGATATG